TAAGGTGCAGATCTTGCAAGGGATGCGCTTCTGTCCTGCTGCGATACGATTCTCTCTGTCTGGGATAGGACTCCGTTTGTCTCGAACACGCTTCGGTGCTTGGATGGGTCTCCGTCTGGCGGAGGGGAAATCGGATTCGACTCGGCTTGTGGCAAAATGTTGGGTACATAAGTGCTCTGTGAAAGAAAATATATTTGAATATGTCCACAATTATATACTGATTCACTTACGCGTTTTGAAGCTGTAGCCCATCCTGGCATCCAGAAAGTTGGCAGATTTCGCCTCGTGCAGCTCTGCTCGCGCTAGGATGCAAGGACCATTGCTGCTCAGATCTTTATCTATAAACTCTAAGTGGGTAACATCGATTGCGTTGACCTGCGTGGGTCCTTCTTCGATCTGGCCCTATTTGTCTGAGATATAGCCTTCCGAAGACGGGGATTGGCGTATCTGTAGAATACTGGTTTCTTCTGTGCGCCATATCTCTGCAATGCGGCAGCCGATCTTGTCGCGGCATGTCTCTTAGTGATCGGGAGAGTCCTGCCAATCGACTGCCATCGGAAAAAAGGACACCCAGTCGACAGTCTGGACCCTCACGATCCTGGTAGTGTGGGTCCTTCTTCGATCTGGCCCTATTTGTCTGAGATAAAGCCTTCCGAAGACTGGGATTGGCGTATCTGTAGAATACTGGTTTATTCTGTACGCCATATCTCTGCAATGCGGCAGCCGATCTTGGCGCGGCATGTCTTTCCATGATCGGGAGGATCCTGCCAATCGACTGTCATCGGAAAAGAGGACATCCATATTTTCGCGATTTTCGCAAAAAATCATGATGTAACCATCATTAAATTTTCAAAAAATCGGCCTCATTTTCGTAGTCGAGATTTTGATGCCAGTTGACAGTCTGGACCTTCACGATCCTGGTAGTGTGGGTCCTTCTTCGATCTGGCCCTATTTGCCTGAGATAAAGCCTTCCGAAGACTGGGATTGGCGTATCTGTAGAATACTGGTTTATTCTGTACGCCATATCTCTGCAATGCGGCAGCCGATCTTGGCGCGGCATGTCTTTCCATGATCGGGAGGATCCTGCCAATCGACTGTCATCGGAAAAAAGGACATCCATATTTTCGCGATTTTCGCAAAAAATCATGATGTAACCATCATTAAATTTTCAAAAAATCGGCCTCATTTTCGTAGTCGAGATTTTGATGCCAGTTGACAGTCTGGACCTTCACGATCCTGGTAGTGTGTGTCCTTCTTCGATCTGGCCCTATTTGCCTGAGATAAAGCCTTCCGAAGACTGGGATTGGCGTATCTGTAGATACTGGTTTCTTGTGTACGCCATATCTCTGCAATTCGGCAGCCGCTCTTGTCGCGGCATGTCTCTCCGTGATCGGGAGAGTCCTGCCAATCGACTGTCATCGGAAAAAATGACACGCATATTTTAGCGATTTTCGCAAAAAATCATGATGGTTACATCATTAAATTTTCAAAAAATCGGCCTCATTTTCGTAGTCGAGATTTTGATGCCAGTTGACAGTCTGGACCCTCACGATCCTGGTAGTGTGGGTCCTTCTTCGATCTGGCCCTATTTGTCTGAAATATAGCCTTCCGAAGACGGGGATTGGCGTATCTGTAGAATACTGGTTTCTTCTGTGCGCCATATCTTCAACTAAGCTGTGTTGAAATTCTTCAAGATTCATCATGAATCGGCGTTGTTTTTTTTGAAAAACTAGCCAGAGCTGCGTGCTAGCCTAGCACTGCTAGGGCTGCAGAATCCAAATATCGTTTTAATCGAACTAAAGATTTGTCACCTCTCGATATGGCTATGGCTGCAATCGATAATTTGTTTACAATGTTACATCTAACATCCCTAAAGCTTTCCTATCATCACAGACACGAACCTTGCTCTAATGATGTTCTAAAGTGAACGAACCCACGAGAGGGCGTTGTGTGTGCCTAGCCAATACCTAAACCAGTCCTGGGGGCTGCATTGCTAAGAGTTCCCTTTTCTGCCGGACCAATTTCTATGGATGGGACTATAGTATATCCTAATGGTCCCATGTAGTGCAGGCTACAAGGTGTCTGCGGCTTGTTTCTCCTCATTCGTGTCACACTTCTCTGAGACTGTGAATATCCTGATAGTTAACATTTTACACAAAAACAATTTGGCATTGAATGAATAAAAAAAAAAAAACAGAACAGCACGCAGAAGTGCAATTGAAGGTATCAGACCGCAAAGAGCTATGGAGATATGTAATCCCATATTTCTTAAAAAAAAAGAGGAAAAGCGAGTCAACTAATTTCATGTGAAACCCTGACCTAGGGCCAAGGGTGGTGGCACTCCCTCGTCCTCATACAATCTCTGCCGCATGCTGCACCGCAATCGCCTTTTTGTACGACCACCACCCTTCGTTACTGTTCCCGTTGCCGTTCCCGTTCCCGTTCCCATTCCCAATCCCGTTCCCGGGTATCGGGTAGGGGGCACAAAGCTGGGTCTCAAATTACAAACCCAATTGATGCTAGTTAAAAAATTTGTGGAAGGCTTTCTTTCAGTCGCGTATTTTTGGCTTTGTTCGCGCGTCGTCCCACCCCTGGGCCCGACTCGACCCGACCTCTGTGATTGCTGTTGTGATGCGCACATGACAAGTCCGATTAGGGCCGCCGGCTCTGGTCCTGGCTCTGGCTCTGGCCCTCGTCCTCGTCCTCTCCCTCTCCCTCTCGCTGCGGCGCTGTCAGCGAGTCCATCCTCCCGTGTGTAAACCGTATCCCGTACCTCCCGTGTAGTGTGGGTCGTGTGCCCTGGAAAGTGTCAACACAGCCATCTATTTTGTGCATAATTTGGCGTGCCAAAACGCGCGACGCGACTCATCAGAATATGGTGTCATATGTTTTTATGGTGGCTTTCTGTCTGTCTGTCTGTTTGTCTCTCTGGCTGTCGCCTGCGGTCTCTGATTTTTACCCTAACAAGCCCTAACCGAAAATATGGAAACCCGAATCTGTTTGCATTCCATGATTGAGTGTCGCTCTGAGCCTTTGAGCATGGGGCGCATGGATCTGATATCCACGTTTCTTAAGATACAAAAGAAGCTGTATCGAAAGATGAGAGGAGATGATCGCATCCCCATACTAAGAACTTGCAATATATTTCCAAAATCTTTGACTTTTGACTTTGACTAATTTTCACTCGGCATTTCCAGCGCCAAAACGATTGATGGATTGAAAAGCTATGGATGGTCGTGTAATAGATTATTTTGGGGATAATGCTGGGTAATTTTGCATCTTCCACCAGTCCCACAGCGAGGGATATCCATGAAATGGGCGGTTACTCTACTGTGGGGGGAATCTGTCCTCCCTCTGATTCGGTTTTCTCTCGTATGCAAGGACCAACGCCAAAGTCCACTATCAAAAATTCTTTGTCGCAACTCTAGAATATCCCAAAATATATATAAATCCCCACAATACCTTCAATGATGAACAGATCTATAATTGTAAAACATTGTTCGCGGATTTCCTTACTTCCTTCTTCGATCAATGCTAGAAACAGAGCACGAATAGTAGGAAAGCGCATTACATCTGAAATACAAGAGGGAAATGCCTATATGAGTCTTTGGATAATGCAGAATTTCTTTTCCTGCATTCTGCGAAGCGAACTCCCATGTTTTTTCTATCAGATCAGAAGATCATTCACTGGACCTTTCTATGGGGTATCCACTCGTATGTTACGGAGATGCCGAATCTGATGTCCCTCTAGAAGCACTTCTGGAATCTGGAAATTGGCTTGCGAATGACATCTCTGGGCATTACCCCGCTTCCCCGTTTCCTCGAGTAAGCGCTGAGCAAGTGCCACGCCCACAGCCACATCCTCGTCCTCATCCTCAGTCATATCCTTATTCAAAAACCATGACATTGGATGGGTGTGGGATGTTGGCTGTGGGCTGTGGGCTGTGGGACGTGGAACGTTCTGGGGGCACGTGTAAAGTTCTTAGCCCCGGTCACGTGGCCGCACGTGGCACGTGGGACATTCGTCCCGTGGCAAGGCCCCGTCCCCCGGCCACAGTTGTCGCCTGTTCTGCTGTGATAAGCGCAACCTGGCAACTCTACACGCGTGTTCCTGAAGAGATGTCAGAGACCAGGTCTCGCGTTTCCGTTTTCGCAGCAGCTTGGGTGCAGCCCCGCCCTCTATACGTCCCGCTTATCATGATGCAGCAGCAGCAGTACCGGCAGCATCAGCGGAAGAGGCAAGGTACAGCGTAGACCGGGGGACCGGTGCCTGCTGCCTGCTGTCTGCTGTCTGCTGCCTGTGTCAATGGTTTTGTTCCCGTAAATATCTTAATTCGCCGCTTCACCGCCCCCGACACGCGTGAATAGTGTGCATTTGACATGAGAAAAACGCTTCGGCTCGGGCTAGCAAAAGAAAAGCGCGGAAAAGGCCGAAAAGCGTTTTCCTCCAACCATTCCCATTCCCATGCCCATTCACATTCACACGCAGCGGCGACCTAACGAGCTTACAACAGAATTTATAATCCCATTTTGGGAACATTATAATCATACAAATTCATAGAAAGAGTGCTATAGACGTGGGAAGCGGTCTGAGAGGCCGCTTCAATTGGGAGATCGAAAGGATTTGATTTGGTTAAGGCCCTTAGAAGGTAGCACTTGCGACTCCTAATTGTACGAATTCAACATCATTCTCAAAGGAAGAGCATGCTCCCATCTACAATAATATGATATAACATAACTGGAAGAATGGGAAGCAATGGAAAATGGATAGGAATAGGAATAGGAATATACGAACGAAGAAAGGACTTTTTGTATTTACAAATAATAATAGTCAAATACCATACCATATTTTTCAGAAAAGATCTAATGCATTGCGAAACTATTACTATCGTACAGGGAGTACTGCGTCATACGAGTATGTGTGTTTATATATTGTCAGAGCGTTCCTTTGGCACTTCAAAAAATTGTCAGTACAAAATTCAATAATTTTGGGTTCAGGTTTTGGCGTTGCTCAAGATGTTTCTCAACACGAATGCAGTTGATATGAACATGTTTCTCATGGCCGACGACGTGTACAACTTGGTTGAGATCTTCAATGAGGCAGCCAGCCTGGAGGCCAGGATTATCAAAGGCGTCGAGGCTATGCTCGTCGTCTGTGACGTGGCGGTTTCCGTGCTGGTGCTCATCACATTGACTCTTAATTTCTATAAAATATTGCGTCGGAATTTTGTGAAAAGTGGGAGCTCGGATCCTCCACAAAAACAAGCGATGGATCGAGGCAGCAAAGAAAACTTCTGGGACCCCGAAGAGGAAGTCCAGGATATCCAGGACCAGACAGTACGGATACCCAGAAACAGTGAATCGGAGAGCAAGAGCACTGATGACGAGGTCACCGTGATGTCACCGGAAGAGGAAAACTACTCCGCCAATATGATCGGAACGCCAGAGTGGGCTGCCAAGTATTTGGCCACCGGCGGACCGGGACACAGCCAGCTTCAACCAAGGTGCATTTAGCAGATACCTCCCCGTATCCCTCAATTTATTGAGGCCCCATGATAGGCTTACGGCTGTGATGCAATTCGGATGCTCAAAACGAATTTAATCCCATATCTTACCAATCGAATTATCCCAAATAATAGGAAATAAATAATAATAATGGGTAAATAGTTGCCGTGTGGATTTACCTGTCCTGCTACCATCCCCATCCCCAAAGCCAACCCCAACCCTAACTCCAGCCCCGCATATCCCTGGACAGGCACGCGTCAGGAGCTAACAATCCAAAGGGGAACGAGGGAAAACGAGTGCAAGTAGAACTCGAGCCCGAGCCATTAATATAAATGCCAACTAGGAAGTCAACAGGCGCCGCACTAGACAACAAATCCCATAAGCAAATTCGGGACAGCACTCCACGACACGCCACTCCACAGCACTGCGCACCACTCCTTGCCCCTTGGATCGCTCAAGTGCAACCCCGCTGTTGCGACACTCGCCATTCGACACTCAAAACGCTTGGAAAACACCAGGAACCAGGAACCAGGCACCAGGCACCAGACACCAGGAGGAACTCGAACTCGAACTCGAACCCGTACACGGATTTTTTATTGTGCGAGTTAACTTTGAAGTGTCGCTGTTTATGGGCTGCGGAAGTGCCAGATCCAGAGCTAAAACCCGTCCATTCCCTTCCGTGCGTTCATCTGTCAGTCAGTCGCTGTGGCGTTCTGTCTTTCTGTCGAGAAACGACTGAGAGGACTAACCCCTAAATTGACCTTTAAAACTCCCAAATGCGCAATTTATCATTTCCTCACCAGGAAAACCCCTAACACAACCCATCGCAAAGGGATTGTTCATCCGCTCTTGTTGTTTTTTTTTTGGGATGAGGAGGGGGGGTTGGGTCTGCGAGATGGTACGAGTAGATGCGAATGCGTATGCGGATACGGATACGGATTTTTGACAGGGCAGACGACTGCCGCCTGCCATCAATCGTTTAGAGAGGAGCAGCGCAAGCCGTACGGCAATCCAGCCGGAGACCCAGACCCAGTGCCAGGGCGATAGCGATAGCGACAAATCTGATATCAGATGCGTCCCGAGACGAGGCTTAAGTGCGTGTAAAGCGCACACCCACAAAAATCTACCCCCCCTTCCACAATCTACAATCCACAATCCCTGAACCCCCGGACCACTTGGACCATCGAGGCATGGCAAGTTTTGGCAACACTTTAACCCATTCGGTGGGTATTCATTCGACGTGCCTCGTACGAATGTCATTGCGGTTGGGGAGTAGAGTGGAGTGGAGAGGAGGGGAGGGGAGGGGAGTGGAGTGATGGAATGGCAAGTGGATTCCGGGTGGAGCTTAATGGGTGTGTGGCAGAAGAAGGCCTTCCGTATTTCGATCCTACATTTCTACAATTCCTTCGAGTGGCCTTTCCTGAGTGTATCCTGGAGTATCTTTACCAATCGTCTATATCTTTATTATTATTGTCCTTCTAGATACGTATCTTTTGGTGTATACAGCATAACCCTATGGCCGTTCCATCATAATTCACAATTTTCAATGTATTAGAACGCTGGCACCATCCCAACACAGAAACTTCTCCAACCGATGAGCGCTGTTGCATGACACGCATTCTGTGCATTTTTTAACTTTAATCTCCTACATATAACTTTTCTCTTCAAAGCTCCGTCAGATATCCTCATGTTGATCCTCTTAAAATCTGGTTAAGGATTTGTAAAATATCTGCTGTTCCAGCATCCATCCATCCATCCATCCATCCCTCCTCCAAAGTTCCATCTATCTTTTTGTGTGTGTCTGTATGTGGGGGGTGTTAGTTTTTTTTTTTATTGTGCTGGTAGAATCCTGGGCAAATGGGTAAACAGGACTGAGGACTGAGGCACAACATGTGCAACCATGTAACCCATTTGGTACACCAACAAAAGGTCGACTCCCCCTGAGGGCAACCTGTCTGTCCGCCTGCCTCGTGCCCCCTGCCCCCTGCCCCCCGCCCCGTTCCCGCCGCTTCAAGCTCTCACCCCGGAGCAGCAGGCGGTTTCAGGTCGGTTTCGTTTCGTTTCTTTCCTTGTGCTTCCTTTTGTACGTAAAAACGGAAAGTGTGAACAACATTTTTCATAAATTTAACCAAACAGGTCGACCGACCAACAGGGGGGTATGCCATGTGGACGGGGATCGGGAGTTCTGTTCTGTTCTCCTTCGAGAACAATGGAGGACAATAGAGCGAACAAGAGCAATAACAATAAACGATAGATATTTACCGCAGCAGGGCGTACGGACGGAACTGCGGACGGGACTGCTCGAGCATGGAACAGGGGATGCTCTTCGGAGGTCTGGTCTCTGGAGGCTAGTGCTGTCTCTGTTCCACTGGCATGTCCTTGCCGGGGGAGACAATAACAAACCAATTACTGTTAGATTGGCCGCATATTAAAAATCGAATGAGAAACACATCTGTCGATGTTGCACCCTCTCCCTCTCTCTCGCCCTCTCTCTCTCCTTTTTTGGGCCATGATGCTGGTCCTGGTCCTCCTCCTGCGCTATTTTTATTTTATTTTTTTTTTTTGGCAACTGTTTCGAAAAAAGTTCGTAGCGAAAAACCCGCGGGGGACTCGCGGCCGCCATGGGGTGAGGAGTGAGGGGGTGATCGGGGGTAGAACTAACATAAAAATAAAATATGATTATGAAATGATTATTATAATTATGCTGGCGTTTTTGGCAGCATCTTCACAGATGTTGTTGCCGTTAACTCTGGGCCACGCCCCCCCACACACACTCGCACACACACAGCAACCCCCATCCCATTTCGTGCCGCTCCACGGGAGAAGGACGGTTCAGAGTAGAGGAGCGGAACCCCATGGCAAAAAGGGACGAAGGAACACGAACGAACGGAACCCAAGCGAGCTGGTTAATAATAAGCCAAAATTAGGGCGTGCTTTGCTCGCTCTCCCCTCCCCTCCTCTCTCCTGCCCTTGCCTTCTTTCAGTTTGCTGGCCAAGAGAAGAGAAAGAGATCTTCCAGCCGCCAGCACGTCATATTCCCACATATTTTCATATCGGAATACCCTGCGGAAGGACAGGGTATGATGACTTGACGATAGACATGGGATTTCGAGCTAACTCTATACTCAAACATATTCTTACAGGTAGAAGTTGTTGCTTCTGAAGACATTCATCAATTCCTCAAATGCTACAAAAGACATTACTATACAATATCACTCGGGAAAAAAATCAAATTTAGCTTAACCTTATAATAAATCTATCATAGGAACAATTGTTTATTGGCTAACCCTATTCTAGGGTCCTAAACATTATGGCTAACATTCCCAGACGATTTTTATTTATTTGATCTTCTATCCTAGTGCTACAAGATTTAGCTTTTTTGGCAATAGTCACACAAATTATTTAAATCCTGTTCATATATGTACATTGACATTTATATTTATTAATTATCTATTGTTTTCTGTGTGCGTTTTTGTACATAAAAAACTCTGCAGAGGATAAGCTATTTATAATCAATCGACGCAAAGGGTATCCAGTTTTCGAGTCTTTCCTCCTAAAAATTCGTGTATTTCTTTCTTGTTTCATATTTGTCTCTGTCGTGGGCGGGGATTGCAAGGGGGCGTGGGGGGCAGGTAGAGGGGTAGAGGGGTAGAGGGAGGATACGAGAAGTGGGCGGAGCGGGGAGTGTGTTGTGTGCTTTTGTGTGTCCTTATTATTAGCAGAGGAGGCGTTGAAAATCCTCTTAAGGTAAACTGTGCATTATTAATGAAGTGGAGGAGAAGGAGACGGTGGAGGTGGGGAATGAGGATGGGGATGAGAAGGAGGGAAAAAGGGAGAGAGGACATGCGGGGCCACGGGGCTACGGGGCCATGGGAACCCTGTAAACTTTTGCTGCTGTTATTATTCCAGTGCTATCCCTTTTCCCTTTTCTTTGGGGTCAAAGGGTTAAAACAATCAAAAGGTTAAAACTATATCGAGGGGTATATGTATCTATAGAAGATGTCTAGGATCTAAGGCTGCCATAAAAACAAGGAATATTAGAGGACTTACAGGGGGGACTGTTCCCGTTTTCCTTCATAAATGAACGTTACTTAGGATTTATATGACATAAAGTGAAGATGGATATCTGTAGATTGAATCACAATATGTTTTATCCACAAAAGAAGCACTCATCATTATCTGGGTGTGATGCAGTACTTCACAATTTCTGAGGACTGCAATCTGTACCATACATTATTCTCATTCTAGTTTTATTATGATGAAAAGCCCATTTGGAGGTTGAATGCTTCCTTGAGCAACATGCAAATGAAAACTCATGCGCGAATAGACACATTTCCACACTCCTCGGGCTACTGCATCGGTCCCAGAATCCAACGACAATGTACACGGTCCTTGGCGAGGCGCACAAGTCGGTCCCAAGAAGGCAAAAACAAAATGTGCTTTCACTTTTCATGGCTGAAACACTGCAAGAAAATCCTTTCTGGTGCTGTATTTATAGAAGAATGTTTTTCAACTGATGAATCTCCTCCGTGGGCTCCAGTAATTCTAGTAAACTCCTTTTTTTTTTGCTGGATAATAGAATTAAGTGCTTAGACCGAACCGGGATTATGGCCACCTAATCGGAGGAAAGCCTCGAATGGAATAGCAGTCGCAATCTGGTTATAATCTCCCACTGATTACAATGGTCACTGGTTTTTTTTTGGTTTTTGTTTTGTTTTTTCGAGGAACTGAAGTGCGAGATTGGATTTTGGCTTACGCCGGCCATTCCCATGCCACCATGCCACCATGCCCCACATGCCCCACATGCCACATGGCCATCCCACTCGGTCTCGCTCTGTGAAAAGTTCAATCAACTGAAGTTTTTCCAACTCTGGATACTCGGACACTGGATCCGTCCAATCATTCACCTGCTACTCGGCGTGTCCATCGTTTTGGCCACTGTTTAATATTATAAGTAATTCGCCTTTTCCCTCGGATGGCTCCTCACCAGCCTTCACGCCTCAGATCCACCTTCGGAAGGGGAAAGGGGACTGGGGATTGAGAAGCGTTTTTGCCGCTGCTGCTTTGTGATGTGGAAACGATGCGCATAAAATCAGCGGCGCGTATGGAAGCGGCATGAGCAGCAGCCGCAGCAGCAGCAGTTGCAGGAGGAGGCAGAG